TGTTTGAAGGAACCAATTTCAAATCACTCTCACTGATATATAAACGGCTCAGTGAAACTATTTTTTGTATATATGCGTGCGTGTTTGTGTGTGTGAGTGAGAGAGAGAGAGAGAGAGAGAGAATTTATATCTCTGTTATATTATGAACAGCTGGAATCAATGTGCGACGATATTATATATATATATATATATATATATATATATATATATATATATATATATATATATACATACATAGAGTTATTTAAAAGAATTAGAAAATTTAATAAAAGCAATGCAGACGCAAACACATTCAACAGATTTCCAACAAAAAGAAGCATTTCAACAAGATTAAGAAAACTTTTGATATATCTTAATAATTTCGAACATTTTCCTCTCCAGTAATGTGTTTAACGTGGTTCTGTGTTTTAGCATTTAATTTTTTCAATTTTGGAAATCTGGTCTTTTTGAATAAATATATATATATATATATATATATATATATATATATATATATATATATATAATGTATAAATGAAATGATTAACGTTATCTTACTGGAATTCTCCGAGGTTTTTTATAATACTATTTAACTCTACATAATAAGTAATCTCTAAACTTAAGAGAAGTACAGTGATAAAATCGATCATAAACGAAAATGATATGATCATCATTAGTTCATCATAGGTAAGGATCGGAAGCTCATGAAGGATTGAAATAATGTTCACACACACACACACACACACACACACACACACACACATACACACATATATATATATATATATATATATATAGGTTATCCCAGGATCATTTTCAAACTTATTCAAGATGATCTTCATCCACTCTAATCATCTAACATTCTGTCCTGGAGTAACACGTTGCTTCACATACAATTTAAGTTAAGACACTAGAGAACTTGGGGAGAGGAATTAACAGGAGATAACTGATAAATGATATCCATTAAACATGGCAGAACAGTCTAGAACAGTCCAACCCAGTGAGGAAAATAAAGGGTTCAGTTCGACATTTCCAACCACTTGAATATAGCAATGAAGATGAGGATAACAGTCAGAATAATATAAATAATGCAAGTAATCATAATGCCTCATCTCTGAGATATATATATATATTGAAGAAAAATTCTAATCACCTGAAGAAGGCCGGAATGGACAACGGCCGAAACCTTGTGAATATAGCAATGAAGTTGAGGATAATAGTCCGAATAATGTAAATAATGCAAGTTTTCTATTTCAGGGTCGTAGGCCGTCACTATACAACCACCTCGACACCTTCACTATGTTACCCCCAACCTTCTATCTTAATTAACCTCCCTGTAACAAATGCCATTGCAAACGAGTGAATTATTACGGGTGGATGCCGGGGTTGACACCAAAGATTCAGCTGGTAAGGGATTTACATTTACTAAAGAAAAAAAGATAATATTAAATAAAAACAAAATAATTTCAGGTTTCAGTAGACATTTATTTAACTTCTAATCTAGGGATTTTCCCGACCATCCCCTTAAGCTTTTGGCATGTAAATAATCGATTTCTACCCCGATCACACTACGACCACACCCCAACTCGTCCGCCCCTGAAAATCATCATCAAATCAAAACCGATATTTAACACGTATTATTTTAAATCGTTTGTTCAATCCAACAAAAATTACAGCTTGTATGAAATTGATGCTTAATTTTAGAGATGTGTCTTAAAATATATTAATTATAATTTAATTTCTCCACTTATTACTTATTTTCACAGATGAGTCTTAAAATATATTAATTATATTTTGATTATTGCCAATTATTACTTAATTTTAGAGATGCGTCTTAAAATATATTAATTATAATTTAATTTCTCCACTTATAACTTATTTTCACAGATGAGTCTTAAAATATATTAATTATATTTTGATTATTGCCAAATATTACTTAATTTTAGAGATGTGTCTTAAAATATATTAATTATAATTTAATTTCTCCACTTATTACTTATTTTCACAGATGAGTCTTAAAATATATTAATTATATTTTGATTATTGCCAAATATTACTTAATTTTAGAGATGTGTCTTAAAATATATTAATTATAATTTAATTTCTCCACTTATAACTTATTTTCACAGATGAGTCTTAAAATATATTAATTATATTTTGATTATTGCCAATTATTACTTAATTTTAGAGATGCGTCTTAAAATATATTAATTATAATTTAATTTCTCCACTTATTACTTATTTTCACAGATGAGTCTTAAAATATATTAATTATATTTTGATTATTGCCAAATATTACTTAATTTTAGAGATGTGTCTTAAAATATATCAATTATAATTTAATTTCTCCACTTATTACTTATTTTCACAGATGAGTCTTAAAAATATATTAATTATATTTTGATTATTTAAATATTACTTAATTTTAGAGATGTGTCTTAAAATATATTAATTATAATTTAATTTCTCCACTTATAACTTATTTTCACAGATGAGTCTTAAAATATATTAATTATATTTT